GAGCAGAGGAGAGCAGGTGTGTGTGGACTGTTAGAAACTGCAGGCAGATCTGTGGTGAAAGGGCTGATTCAATCGGAGGTAGAATGGCCGGAGCCTGAACAAAGCTGCTATTGACTGCAGCTAGGTGACCATGAGACCCCCGCTGCAGTGCACAGGCGACGGCTGAGATGCTCTGAGATAAAAACCAGGCAGGATACAAACCTGTGCATCGTGAATTAGTTCTTGTCTGCTAACAAGTCCTAGTTTTGAAAAACTAAAGGCTCAGGTCATCATTTTGTTCATGCAAAACATCATTCGTGCTCTGCATGACTATAACAGCAGCGCACTTTGCAGCAAAGCGGATATCAAGTTGCTGCTTTGTGCTCTGAACCAATCACATGCAGACCAATCATCATTCAGTCTCTGATCGCCTTCCTACGTTTAATGCTGACTCAGCCCTGGATCGAAGCCAAGCAGCCCAACTCATCCTGATCACACGATGCAAAATGTGCATCAAACTAATTATTACTGTAGCAGCCAAACAAAACACAATAATTCAGTTTTTATTTAAATGCACCAAATTACACCTTTATATTGTAAAGACCCTACAACGATAACACAAACCGTGATTCGACAATAACTGAATACCTACATCGTCTAAAAACTTCAGATATTGCTTACTGACAAATATGGCTACATGAATATCTTTTTTAATCTTAATTTGTAAATAGTTTCTCTTATTCCTTTTCAAACTATGATTTAATATTATTTAAAAAGGTGCTGCTCCATCAAGTTCTCTTCTGGTTGACAAAGGTGTGTTGAGTCCCAACATAAAATGTTTAAATCATGATCTTACAACAGGATGTCTTTGTTCATACACACGGAAAATGCAAATGATCCACTTTCACTATGAAGTTGGTTGGCAAACAAACTTTTGCGTCACTCTGGCATTCCTGCACAGAGAAGTGGGGGAGGGAAGAAGGTGGGCTGTCAGCCAACAGATACTTAAATACAGGACAGGTGAAGCTAGAGTCAGTGCAAGTCCACGATCTGCCCACATTCTCTACCTGACTACTCGGGAACAGGTAAGCTAAAGAACTTGTCGCCATAGCTTTGTACCTTTCTGTGTGTGAATACTCTACTATGTGAAATAATTGCACATCATAGCTAAAACTTTACTGAGGAATGTTCATTACAGGAAACGAAAAAGCACCAAAGTATCTGGATTTCTGTTAAAATAGTCTCTATAAAAGTGTCTCTTCAGTTTTGCTTCCTGTTACTGCAGGTTTTAACAGCTCATGTGCTGATCGACGTGTGAATGCAGTTCCTTTAGCAAAACAGCCGATGCTTCAAGTCTAAAACTGGTTTGCATTTCTTAGAGGAAATATTTTGTAGCTGGTTTGTGTTTGCTGTTTCAGGAAATCTCTAAAGATGGTTAAATCAGCGCTGTCTGTGCTCTTGGTCCTGGTAGCCATTTCCTCTACCTTTGCTGCAAAATATATCCCCAAGAGTGGGAAGAGGGTCCCACAGACTCTGTCCAGAGGTATTTGAGTCATTTCATTCACGCATTAAGCCCAGTATGAGGTAAAGGACGCACTTATCTCTAATGGTGTCTTTGTCTGTGCAGGATGGGGCGATCAGCTGATCTGGGCTCAGACTTATGAGGAGGGTCTTTACTGGTCCAGATCAAAGTAAGACATAGTTTCAAAATAAAAGTCCAAACTTTGGCTTAACTCTAAAATTCGCTGAAGCTTATGATGGGCTGGTTGGTATTTTAGGAACAAGCCCCTGTTGGTCATCTTTCACCTTGAAGACTGCCCACACAGCCAGGGTGAGCAGCTGCTATTGTTTCACTTATTAAGTTCCTCACTGTGTTTGTTCATATGTGATGTCAGCTTGGTCATCCCGGTGCTGTTCTCTACACACCCGAGTTATAAAACTTA